CCGGGCCATCTGGGGTGGTGGTGGTGGTTCCTCTTCTCGCTCTTCTCGGGGGATTTGATGATGATGAGGAGGAGGGGGATCTCGTGTTGACGTGTTGTTGATGATGGCGGTGGTTGTGGTAGTGGAGGTAGAGGTAGAAGGTGGGAGCGCGGTCGATAGGAGCAGGAGCAGGAGCGCCGCCCACTTGGATGCTGCTGATTTGGGTCCGGGGAGTCTCATGGTTGGTCCGGTTTTCTCTCTCTCTCTCTCTCTCTCTCTCTCTTTTTTAGTTATTGCCCGCTGTGGTAACTAGACGACGGGTCGACTCAGGGGTTAAGTAAGTAAGTAAGTAAGTAATGCGGTATTCTTGGTCGTGAACGATGAGGGGGAACTAAAGTGTACTTAGTGTTTTGTTGGTGGATATATGTAATGAGGTAGGAGGTATAGTTGATAAGAATGGAAACGAACCAGGCACGGGTAGGTCTCCCTCGTGTGTCTTAAAAATACGTACGATGAAGGGGAAAACTTCGATATGACTCGATCGTCTTTCTCTACGTGGGCTTGGATTCAAGCAGGATGTATAATGACACCAGCCAAATTTCAAATTTGACTCGATCCTCGTCAGCGCACTCACACGCCCAATCCTTGTGCTTCCCTCCTCACTTCGAGGTGTGTCACTGTGCTCTTGTACACCCTTCAGGGATATTAAAGGTTAGCACCCCACTAGAGCCTGTTCTCCATATTGCATATTGACATTCGAATAAGCAGATATTTCTTGTGGAATAATCCATAGAAAACTGCTTATCCGATTATCCACAGGCTGATTATACGGCTATCCCATATTGTCCATATCCATCACGCTAACCTTTAATATCCCTGAAGGGTGTATGTCCTACAATTTTCCTTTCTTTCTTTTTACCGCTCATGCAGACGTCCAGTGCGTTGGCCACCGACTTTGTAGTCTAAGTATGCGCCTGGACTCGGCGGCATTTGCATTGCTGCCCGAAGTACAAGCATGACAGGCCAGGAGACGAACGAACGAACGCGTGGGCCCATCCGATTGGCCTCACGTCCCACAAAGTGAGGGAAAAAACCCGCTTCCCAACTTACTAAAGGTAAGTCACTTACTTTCTCTCGCATGCCAGAAGCTTTAAACTCGCAGTCAATTCCTGCCCCCTCTCTCTCAGCGGTACTTGGGAAGGTCGGTGAACGCGCGCCGGGTATTCCTGGGACCCCCACCTCCACCTCCTCCGCCTCCTCCTCCCTTGGTTGCGGGTCGGTACGGTGGGGGATCCGCGCCGGATGATGTCCCGGCCGTGGCGGTGAGCAGGGCCTCTCTCAGCTTCCTCCGCGTCTGGACGAGCTTGATGAGCAGGGCTGCGGCAAGCGCGAGGAGTGCTACACCGCAGAGCGTGAGGGCTACCGTGCGGATCCAGCAAGCGGCAGCGGCGCTTCCCGCGTTCCCGAGGGCTTCGTCGCGGGCGCGGGCGAGCTCGTCGTATACCGGCTGCGCGATGCATGGGATGGCGCTGGAGCTGGCTGGGGGTGTGGTGATGGCGACGAAGCCGGGATTTGGGTTATGGGCGGGTGCCTTTGGGAGCGTATGGTCTGGGTGTATATGGCCATATCGATCGGGTGCTGCGGTGTCCATGGTAGAAGTGATCGAGTATTCCGTTTCTTGAGGATCCGTGAAGGGTCCCGGGGGGGCGCGACGTTAGTGGAAAAGGGGTAGGGAGACGACAGATTTATATGAAAATTGCATTGCTGGCGGCCATGTTCAACTACTGCATGTCATTATTGTCATGGTGATCTCCTAAACAAACGCGAGAAGGTCACGGTTGAACTGGAAGACTCGGTATTAAGGTAAAGTAAGTAGAGCTCACAAACGACTGCATTCAAAACACGCATTGGGTGTCTTGGATCTCGATTCTTCTGATCTTTCAAGCGCAGACTCGGCCGTTGAGACCGAATCTTTTTAGTCAGTTGTTACTATGAGTTGTGTCCTACTTCACGATGAATACGTAACTAATGCCGAGATATACATAGTTACTCTTCGTGCCTTTCTCGAAGGGAACTCCCTATCCTTGAACTTTGGTCTAAGCAACGCGTATCCTGCTAGTATACCGGATACACTGGGTAGACTAGTCATCGCTTTACTTTCGATTTCGGACTTGCTGCTAGGCCCTCGGTCTTTGATTCATTGTCATTTCAAAAAGAGTCATCATGACAGCATCCAGTTCACCTCGTTCATGACTTCCTCTATTTTACTCCCGGCAAGCAAGGTAAAATGGCTGGCCGACTCGTCGATCCTCAATTCGACGCCCTCGATTAGTGCAGATGCCTTCTTGGCCATAGCCACAGGAACGTTGACATCCAACGCCCCGTGCCAGGCAACCAATTCGCCCCGGTCGACTCTGATATCCTGGAGTTGGAACCCCCAGTCTGTCGAGAAGAGCACCGCTTCGCGAGCCATGCCCTTGCACCCATGCTGTACAGATCGCCTACTGTCTTCGATGAGGATCTCCTGCACCCGCTCATCGCGCTCCCACGCGGTTCGATCAGCCGCGGGCTTCGAACGGATCATGTTGCGGTTTAAATCATCGAACCTCTCCGGGTGCTCGTGATCTCTAGCCGCACTTCCGAAAGACACATCGAAGATCTTCTCCATCAGCCACGGGCTCCATGAAGCGCAGCGGAAGAGGACCCGGTTCTGGAGCATCATCCCGGACAAGCCGAAGCTCGCGGGCCACATGCCCGCCACGACGCAGGCGCCTACGCAGCGGGCTCTCGGGATGCCATAGAGACAAGCCAGCGCGTAGGGTCCACCACCGGATAGCCCGATGACGGCAAACCGGTCGATCTGGAGGTGCTCGGCCAGAGCCAGGAGGTCTGAGGGCCAGTCTAGAATGCGCCGGTCAGGCTGATAGGTAGAATCGCCATAGCCGGGGCGCTCTACGGCCAGGAGACGCAGACCACGCTGCCGCGCCCCCTCGTGGTACTGTGCCGCCTCTATGTGGCTTCCTGGCATTCCATGGTGAAAGAAGACCGTGCGTTTCGACGATGGATCGCCGTAGACGGCATAGCAGAGGACCCTCGAATCTGATAGAGTGAAGAAGAGCTCGGTGGGCGTTTTGGCAAGCCCCATCTCTGGTCCAGTGGTTCTGGTTCTAGCCGAGGAAGTGCGATACCGGTGGGTTATTAGGTTAGGTATTTATGTAACCACCTAGATATTACGGTATCAGGGAGCGAGTGTGGCTACGACTTGAAGTGAAGAAAGCCCCAGACTTGTCAGCAAGTGCGGTACCTACGTACCCCCACCTTTTGAGTATCCCTGCTTGTGGCTTGCTTTACCAGTCGCGTACCAAGTACATCAACCATGTGCACCATCCCCGAAGCTCACTCCCGGGTCCCGAGAAGACCGGACGGACTGACGCAGGCCTCGGCCCCCTTCGGACAAACCTGCGAACCCGCTACTCCTCGACCTCGATGCCAAGGCCGTGCAGGACCTTTCATTAAGTCAGTGTTCCCTTCGACGACCTGCCAGACCTCCGGGTTGAGCGTACAAGTAACTGGTGAAATCCCGCCCGCCGACGTTGTAGTGGATGCCCAAGCTCATCTCCTGGATGGCGAAATTCGGGCTGACGGTGTCGAACCCTGGACGCTAGCTGCCAGCGCGACGTCGTACGTCTCGCAAGGCCGGGGCGATGCGGCGCACCTCCGAAAGATGCCGCCCACGTGGCTGATGTCGGGGTGCAGGGATATCGACACAGCCGGCCTCGAGGAAGGGTCGGACGTCCCACCGGCTATGGAGTCGCTCCCCGAGCGCGATGGGGACAGGACGTCCGGGCGGCGATAGCCCTGATGCCGCCGATGTTCTCGCTCAGCAGCGGCTCCTCGATGAACAGGGGCTCGGGGGGGTGCGCCAGTCTGGCCGCCAGCTGCTTCGCCATCGGCTTGTGCACCCGGCCGTGGAAATTTACCCCGGCATCCAGGCCCAGCGCTTTCACGGCCTTGACGCGCTCGAGGCACGCCGCGAGGCTGCTGAGGGGGGGTTTCGAGCTATCCCAGGTCTTCGGTGGCGTTCATCTTCACTGCGTTGAAGCCTTGGCTCTTCCTCACATTACTATCCATGCAATGTCAATCGACCGGATACGTAACCCGAATTAGATAGGTAGATGCTGCTCACGCTTGTGTTTCTACGTCCCACGGGCGGCCGCCTACTATCTAAGCATAGACGTGTAGCTTGTCTCTCACCTTTCCGTTACGTAATTGGTAGATCGGGACGTTGTCTGGTCCCCTTGCTAAGCTTTTGTTAGACACAGACATAGATCTTATCATATTCAGTGGTCAAGCATGTCGATGCCGCTGAGGGCACTCACGAGGGCCGGACCACCCCGGTAGAAGCCGCCCCGATAGGACAGCTGCCAGATATACTCGATATCACTGACTAGTAAATAAGCTGAGCGGAGTCCATTCCGCGGCAAGCCCTACCGGTACTCGGACGGCGTGCACCTGACCAGACCGGGCTACTACTTTGTCGACTCGATCATCAAAGTCGACGCCGAGAGATGGATGCCCCAGGCGGACTCGCTCCCGTCGGGAGCCCATTTTCGTTGCTGCACCCCACGCGCAGGCGGAGAACGACGATGGCTTGCTGGTTACGGTCATCATGGACTCGGACGACGGCACATCGACGCCACCACGATGGAGGAAGAGAAAGAAGGGGGCAGAGAGAGAGGGACAGGAAGACAAACAGGCAGAGAGGGAGAGAGAGCTTCCATGACGCACTTACTACTCACAAAACTACCCTGCCCCTCCTCCCATCGCAAATGAAGCAAAAGCTCAGCTTGGCCTGGCTATTTATTGATTCACCGTGAGATCAAGGTACAACTACATACCTCGGTAGGCATACCTTCCTTGAAAAAAAAAATTACAGCATCAACAATAACTCATACCTTTCCAGATTCTTACACACGGAAGGGCGTATGAAAGAAGATCGAGAAAAAAAAGAGAAAAAAATTTACACGAAATGGGATTTGCACCCATGTCTCTCCCTTGGGAGGGGAGTATGCTCACTACTGCACCATCCGTGTTTTCTTTTTCTCTCTCTCTATCTGTCTCTTGGTCGATGTGAATTTAGATGTTACTAGGGTTTATATACCATTGGTCTAGGTAGGGAAGGTACACATGTAGGTTGGTTCTTGCCCACCGTTCCTGCCTGCCTGCCTGCCTACCTACCTTATTTGAGGTAGGCAACCAAACAGAATGGCTACCTGCATGGCTACCCACGTAGCCAGCCTACCGTTCGTTGCCTAGCACTATACAGTACATGCCTGAACCTGATTGTTGCCTAACCTCCCTACCTAGCCTACCTAGACTAGATGTACCTAACCTGAGAGAGACCCGCCGTCGTCAAAATAGGGGGGCAAGGGCAAGGGGGACGCATTTTGTATCTTGATTTACACAAGGGGTCAAATACTATTATCATATCCAATACCATAAGTATCTCGCGGGATCTGCCTCATCGCCATATAAACATATAACACACGCATACACACACACACACACACACACACACACACACACTAGAAGAGGAAATCCCCCCTCAGACCAGAGACTGACTGGCTGATACGGGAAGGTACAGCAAAACAAAACAAGCACCAGGCCGATCCATACCAAGATAATTTCCCACCATCGCCGCCGCCGCTACATGCATGCATGGGAAAGGGGGAAAAGCTTTCCCAAACCATCCCAAGCTATTCCCATCCCCATCCCCATCCCCATCCATTCCTTCATGCCGTCGTCCATCCCATCGAGCAAGCATTGATCTAACAACCCTAGGTACATATATGCTTCTGCTTCTTTCACTCATCGCTTCTGCCGCTCTGGCAAAAAAAAAAAAAAAAAAAAAAAAAAGAGTTTAACTTCCAACTGGTATGTATGTGTGGTCCGAAGAAAAAAGCGCCAGCCACACGATCCATCATCATCATCTATATCTCTCTCGTTCAGGGGAAAGAAAGAAAGGTGGATGGTTGATAAGGATTGGTTAAGTTGGTCAAGTAAGTACATGTCGACAGACAGGTAATAGACTGACTATCTAACAGCTTTCACCCCCAGCCAGCAGCACAGAAGAAGAACAAGATTTTCTGGAGAGGACAAGATATGTTTTTTGAGCTTCTTCGAGGCATTTTATCTTTATGTTTTATTGATGTCATTCACTCTATTATTATTATTTTTCTTTTTTTCCCGCACGTGTACGTGGAATAAATTGATTAGGTAGGTCAGGTAGGTAGGTAAACAGACAGATTCTCTATGTTTCCCAACATCTATCTATCCTCCCCCATTCAGCCTCGCCACGTGTCACACACACACCACACAGAGACATACATACATCCATACATCCATCCATCCATACATACATACATACGTACATACATACGTTCGACACGCAGCATAAATACCACCCAGCCAATGCTACCTAGTATCCAATCCAGTCGATGCCGGTGCTTTCCTTACATATGCAAGTACATACGCACACGCATACTCTTCACAGGTCCATATGTGCGTGCTTGCGTACCCCTCCCGCTCATCCCATCTATCGACTCGAGCCTATCAGAGAACACCGATTGGAAAACCGACGACGCAACAATTCGCTGTCCAAGAAAGAGGGGGTATAATATAAATGCAGTCCGACATCCGAGGTGACGATAACGCAAGTAAGTTACTTTCAAACACGGCCGCTTGTCATTGATAAACCCAAAAAAGACCAACAAACAACATTAGAACGCTTTCATACCACGCTCATGTTTAAACATCAAAAAACGCTTTCATCCACCTCCAGCCAACTTCCTCCACCAACTGCTCCGCGGTGTCGTGTCCATGAATACCGACTCCCGCTCTCGGTCCCGCTCTCGCTCGCGGTACTTGTCACCACTGCCTTCCGAGCCGCCCCCACCGCGCCGCTCCCTACGGTCTCGCTCATCGCGACGAGCCTGCCGCCGACGCCGCTGGTCTTCATCCATGTCCTCGGCTTGACTCTCATATTTGGCCCGGCGACGAGCCGCCCTCCGCTCAGCGCGACGCCTCTCCTCGTCGTCTTCTGGCACAGCCGGGGCCTGTTGCTCATCCTCCGGAGGCGGTCCCGCATCTGAGTGGTCCTTTACCCAGGAGTCCGTGCCCGAGTGAGGCCAGGCCGGTCGCTTTTTCTTCTTGGCCCGCTCGTCGTCGGTGGCATGGTGTCGGGGGTACACGTAATCGTCGACGGGAACAGACCGTCGCCGACTGGCCTTCTCCTCGGCGCGTCTAGCTTCGCGCCTCCGCCTCCGTTCATTCTCGTCCTCCGAGGCATCGACGTTCCGAGAACGACGACGCTCGGCGCGAGCGGCTCGTCGGGCCTCGGCTTCGGCATCACCCGCAGCAGCACCAGCGGCAGCTTCCTTCTCCAGCTTCCGGAGACGGCGACGCTCGGCCCTTTCAGCTTCCTTGGCATCGGCCTCTTCCGCTGCGCGACGTTCAGCCTCGCGTTCTCGCGCGGCTCTACGCTCGGCACGCCTGGCTTCCTTCTCTTCTTGCCGGCGGGCCTCTGCTGCTTCCTCCTCTTGTCTCTTTCGCTTCTGACGCCTGGCTTCATCCTTTGCGCGGCGAGCTTCTTCGGCAGCCTGCTCTTCTGCTCTCCTTGCGCGGCGAGCTGCGCGACGTGCCTCGCGCTCAGCATCCGCATCCGCATCAGCGCTGCCGGCAGCTCGAGAGGAACGTCTCGCCTTCTTGTCCGGCCGAGCCTCGTCATCGGTCGTTTGATATGTGCTCCGGCGATGAAGTTCGGGTCGAGTCTCGGATCGAGGGGTCGAAGAGGACACGAGTCCTCCAAAAAGACCCGAAAAGCCTTTCTTCGCACTCGAGCTGGATCGCTTCAGAGGTGTTACGTCGACCGGTCCATCCGTATCCACCATAACGATATCGTCATCTGGCTTGGGCTGTTGTCGGTCAGCTTCGCCCTCTAAAATTACATAGCGCGCATGTCTTACCTTGGACCGCTTGCGCGAAGACTTCTCGGGGCTGGGGGTAGCGTCAACGGCATCGACCATGATGATATCATCCTCTTCCATGGCGCGGATCTTAGAGCTCTTGCGACTGCGCCCTTTGTCGATACCGAGAATCTTCGCGGCTTTGGACGCCATCTCCGGCACCTCCTCGGGTGGCGGCGAGACCAAGCCACTCGTCATGTCGAGAGAATGACGACGCGAACCTGACTTGCTCGTGCTATGTCGCTTGTCCCGCGTGGACATGGAGCGCGACAGTGGGGGAGTGCTTTGGAAGAGACTGTTCTTGCGCGGTCGCGTAGCTGACGCGACTTTCTTCTCGTGACGTTCGGCCTTGTCCGAGGTTGACCCCTTGGAGGACACCTTCTCCTCTTTCTCCCTCTTGGACGGCTTCTCTTCGGATTTGGAAGACTTGGCTTTCTTGTCCTCTTTGCGCGGTGTAGCCGACCACATCCCCCAAGATGAGCCCCCATCGCGATTGATCTTCGGTCGCTCTTTCTTCGATGGCTTTACTTCGGACGGCGGTGTCGGTGGCGCCGGCGGCGCGTCGGGTACAGCGGGAGGAGGTATGGGTACTTCGGGCGGAGGGGGTGGAATCGCATCGCTTTTTGACTTGCTCTTCTTGCTGCTCTTCTTCGGCTTCTTCTCTACCGGCGACATGTCAATTATTTCGATGATTTCGTCGTCATCTTCTGGAAAGCTTCCTGGGAGCACGTCTTTCTCTCTCTTGGGCGACCTGGACTTCTTTTTATCTTCCTTGGCCGGTGGCGCAGGAGCTGGCGGCGGTGGTGCGGGTAGCGCATCTATTAGGTCCTCGACGACTTCTTCAGTGGTAAACTGAAAAGCCTTCAGCCTATCAGCGACCTTATCGCCCTTAGCCTTCTTGGACTTCATGCCACTTGACGTGGTGGCCTTGGAAGATGATGGCGTGGCCTGTTCGACGATAGTATCTTCGAGAAGCTTGGATGAGTCAGCATATCTAATCTCGGTTGCCGTCAGGGGTGAGATGAGCTTGCGCTCGGATGAAGAGGCTACTTACCACTTCGGGCATCGGGCTCCTCGTCTTGGCACCCCAGAACGCGAACGGGTCATCTTTTGGCGTCTTGACTTTCGGCGGCGCTAAGCCCGAAAGGATCTCGTCGGCTTGCTCAGGAGACAGGTTCATATCGTCCAGGTTGAAATCATCATTGTCATCCTTGTCTTTCTTTGATGCAGACTTGGACTTGGCCTTCTTGTCCTCAGATTTGGAACTCTTCTTGGACTTCTTCTTCGCCGCTGCCTCGGCTTCTTCGCGCTCATGTTGAGCCTGTTCTTCGGCTTCTCGAGCAGCTTGTTCTTCGGCTTCACGGGCAGCTTGCTCTTCAGCTTCGCGGGCAGCTTGTTCTTCAGCTTCGCGGGCAGCTTGTTCTTCGGCTTCGCGGGCGGCTTGTTCTTCGGCTTCGCGGGCGGCTTGGTCGTCGGTAACGTTCTCCGCGGCCCTGGCCTCCGCTCTTTGGGTAAGCTCTTCAAAACGGAATTTATCAAGACCCTTGAGCTTCTTCTTCTTGGATAGCGTAGCCAGTTCCTCTTCTTCGGCTGCGATCTCTGCTGCGAGAGCTTCCTTTTCGGCTGCCATAGTATCTATCTCGTCTTCAGCGGCGACCTCTTCCGCAGCTTGTTCCTCAGCCTCGGGAACCGCCTCGTCGTCTGCACCCTTTGCCGCGGCTCTAGCCTCTGCTTTCTGGGTAAGCTCCTCGAACCGGAATTTGTCAAGACCCTTGAGCTTTTTCTTTTTAGACAGCGCAGCCAGTTCTTCTTCCTCGGCCGCGATCTCTGCTGCGAGAATATCCTCCTCGGCTGCCGGAATTCCCGCATCTGCTGCAGCCGGCTCATCGACGATGCCGATGGCCTGGTCATCTGCGGCCTTGGCCGCGGCCGCGGCCCTAGCCTCTGCTTTCTCAGTAAGTTCCTCAAACCGGAATTTATCCATACCCTTGAGCTTTTTCTTCTTAGAGAGCGCGGCCAGCTCTTCCTCTTCGGCCGCAATCTCTGCTGCAAGCGCGTCCTCCTCGGCT